CAATTTTTGTAGGCATCGTAGAGAAGTGCGGAGTATCTCATTTTGTAGAGAATTTAATTCTCTAGAAAACTGATATAGACCAAAAATTTTAAATTGACTTTTTTATAGAAAAAAATCTGACTTTCGAGAATCAATGAGTCATCAAAAGCAGAAAACTCTTCAAAACTCATTCTCAAATACAACTTTTTTCTATGAAAATTGCATTGTTTTGTTCAGTTTTTTTAGCTCTATCTGATGCACTAGTTGGTTTTGAGATTACTTGCATTCATTATTTTGAAATGCCATGGGTCCCTGGGGCTAATAAACACCAGATTTCAAAAATAAGGATTGATCGTGGATTAGACTTTTTTTTATTAAAATGTACGGGACAAAATTCTGCATCGAATGGTATGTGTTTCAACTGTTTTCAGTACTATTACTTGGTCAGAAAATACAAAATACCGAAAATGTCCTAAATTTACGTCCACCACTTTATATAACATTAGCCAACATGTAATATATGATTTTTCTGAATAATTTCTTCTATGTGTATTCTTAAAAAATGGTGATTATTTTTTTCAAATGACAAATTAACTCTAAGTTTATATTTTATTTTTAATATCAACAAGTGATTGATAGTTATTTGATATTTCGTAGAATTGAAGCAACTTCAATACAATATATGTATATATGAGAAAGAGAAGTACAAATTATAGTAGTATGCAAATATTTCAATGATTTATTTACAAGAAAAAAGGAAAAGTATAGAGGGTCCTAACAGAAAACAGCGCACATCTAGTAGAAAACTATTATAAAATAAATTGCTTTAATTTCAAGTACTTTAATGAACTTGAAACTAATCCTACACACTTTGAACTATTTTGTTACGTTGGTATACGTTTTTGACTTGAAGCACCCTGTTTACCCCTGGATTAATGGTCTATTGCAGTGGCGTAGGCAGGGGTGCAGTCATTAGGCGGTTGCCAAGAACTTCAAAAGTAATTACCCAAGGATTTCTTTTAAATGATACGAATTGTCCAATTGGAACTTTGTCATACGAATTCTCAGCAATGCTGAAATTCTATTGTAATATAGAAATATGTTGAAATTAAAGTGAAACTTGGGCAATGCTGTCGAATTTTTGCAATGATTCAAATTCATAGCGAATTACAAGCCTATCATTTATTCCTGGAAATTTTGGGTGTGGGTGTGTATAAAATGAAAAACACATAACCACATCCTACTTGTCTCTAAATCAACACTAATAAATATTTCATCTGAGAGTACAGTTAATAGAAACAAATAAAAAATAGAGGAATCAAATTTCTATAATGGGTTTCTGAAGATGGGCAAGAATTTTACAAGACTACAAGTGACTCCACATGACTACAAGGGACTGAAGTCTGCTGTTTTCTCCTTGCTTGCCAGAAGGTTTGCACGGATGGTCATATCTGCATATCTCACATCAATTCTTCTTCTAATAGCCATAAGCACATTGTTTCGGTTTGCCACCGGAACACTTGACAGGTGGGCATGATATTCTGATTTTGGCATTCACCTGGTCTACACCACCTGTAGTTCAATAGCAACCAGAGCATTTTTACATATGTTTCCATAATACCCATCAGCCTTCATTTCAACTATGTTAACAATCTTTCTAACCTAAGTCGATTTTAATTCTCTTCATTTGGAAGCATGGTTTTTTACTCAATATTGATTTCGACTTTCTTACACTAAACAGCTGATCGACGACACGGGCACGCACTAGGTGTAAATTCACTTCTCCTACTGGTACACTTTCACGTCATCATTCTCATGATGATGATCACGCCAAAGATTTGATCGATTCAATATTTCAGCATTGCTGGGCGATTCATCATTGGAAAATTCGCAATGCGCATCAGATCCTTGGATTTCACCCAAAGTGGAATGTTTACTTTCATGCCGGCTGCTAATCACTGAGCAAAATAGGAGTGTAGAGGGAATCGGTTTCTACCCAAAAATAAGACACACAAGGCATCAGCTAATGAAGTTCCCTCTACATTGTGAAGCATCAGGTGATTCAACTTGGTGAAGATGCCCTTCAGTTTCAGGAAAACTAAAAATCATCTCGGAATATCATACATGTATTTAATCTCAACTTCATTAACATAGAAGGATATCGTGACAACGACAAATATTAACCGAGTTAGATGCATTTTCAGCACAGAATCACTATTCGCTTTAATGTGGAATGTAAGAAGCAGAATAGAATAGTTTTTTTATACAAAATTGATTATAGAATTATGTTCGTGTAAATGATGCGTCTATCGAAAAGGTGATTTATTTCATCGCATAGCGCACGAAGAAAAGACATAGAGTTTTTAATTAGATAGCGAAGAGGGAGATGATCGTGAAAGGTGAGAATGTCTTTTGTCTGCATTGACACAAATGTATGTTTTGTCTACGATAGTAGAGCAGAGAAAAAAATGCATGCGACGGGGGTGTGGGTGTGAATTTTTTCGATATAAACACCCACACCCAGTATTCTTTTCTGCATCTTTATTCATTCACATTGAAATCAATCGTAGAACACACATCAACTGATCGAACAATGAGTTTCAAAAAAAAAGCACGAGAAAAGTCACTGTTGGTCACTGATAATTTGTAAAGAGATTCTTCTCCATAAAAACTATTAATGATCACTAATATATTTAAAAAATGGTCGAATATAATCGTCCATTCCTCTGTATGGGTGTGGTGTTGGTTAAAGAAGAATACACCCACACCCTCAATATGGCTAAAGAAGAAACTAACGCCCTTTTCATCATTAAAAATGAATCTCAAATTTATGAGTTATTGTTGCATTATCAAAGATTTCAAGATATGATTTTTAATTGTCAGCTTTCATAAATGAATTCATAGCTTCCTTAAGTAAACCTTCAAATGTTTGACCATTAGCTAATAAACTCCATACAGAAGGTTTATTACAACGTTCAGCAAATTCATATACGCGATCCAAATTTTTAATATCATCAAAAGTACTTCAATGGCGAATGTATTAACCTCAAATTTGTTATAAATTGAAAAAGCTTCTTTACATAATTGGCATACTAATAGCTATATTTGGCTATATCAGATGCATCATAATTTTCTAGACGATTTATATAATTCATAACACGTGAACGATCAGCTTTAACTGCTGTTAAAATAAGTCAATTTTGTAAATTACTATAACAAAAACAAATAACAGATAGTTCTCCAAATAAAGAAAATTGTTTTCGTTCCACTTCTTTTACCAATGTTCACTAAACACAGAATTATCAATAACAAATTTTTCTAATAATTCAATTAAATTATTTAGTAAATACGCTGTCATAAACGCTTTAACTCTAACAGATATTTCTTATGGGTCTTGTGTTTCAGCGAAAGCTGTTTGAATAAGGGTGTTGGTGTGGGTGAGTGTGGGGTGTGGATGCGGATGTTTATTGAAGAACAGACCCACCCATACCTACACTCGTATTTTTTAAAACGAATATTACTACAACCAGCACATATGACAACGAAAAACATCTTATCGAAATTTTATTATTATGATATTAGGTGAAGTTTGATCAAATAGCATAGGAAGGTAGAGCTTTTTTTCTCTATCAGGCTGTGTGGAAAGAAAGTTTCTTTAAGTTTACTATACGGTATTAAAGTATCACTGCCATTACTTTTGGTATGCCCTAAGTATATAACTGATAAATTCAAATTTTTGCTAATGTACCTACTTGTAGCAAATCAAACCAAAACACTTCTTTAATGGTTGGGTTTTTTCAAGAATATATTGTTACATTTTTTCTTCGTCTTATTTTGATATCTTCTTTGTGCAACCGACTAGAGAATGTAAATCAATTTGATATTTTTGCAATAAGATTAAAACATAAAAGTCAACATATACAGCTTTGATCCATGTTCAAACGAAAACAATTATCAAATTATATGAAGAAAAGAATAAAATTTAGTGTTATTAAATTGCTTGATATTTTTATTTCAGAGGTTTTGAATAGTATGATCAACTGATAAAAAGAGCGAATAAAATTTATGGATATATGTTCATAATGTTGCAAAATGAAATAGAAGCAAGGAGAATTAGAACACTTGTCTATTAGCGTGTCACATGAAACAGATTAAAATCTTCGACGGAATGGTCGAATCCATCGCTGTATTGTTTTATCGAATTCTCTTTTGTAATTTTTTAATGGTAAAATAAATACAAAAAATGTTGACATTGATGGAATAAAGGACACAAAATAACCAATCAAATATAACCAAGATTGACGTGGTGATCTCATGTATCCTGATGTGAATGAAATAATAAGACGTGGCAAACCTAATACTAACAATATACTAGGTGCAATAATAATATTTTTATGTTGTTTAAGTTTCAATCGAAAGTGTTGCTTAAATGATAATTTCGATTCTACATTTACACGGCTACGAGCTGCTACTATAATAGTTGCAAAAGCAGATATCAAATTAATTGAAAAAGGAACAAGAAAATGAAAGAGAGTAATAAATTTGTTATATCTAGTTAATGTAGATGAATATTGAGATAAATACCATATTCGTTGTTGATCTCCATTTAAATGATTAATCACTTGTCGATGAAGTGAATCATGAATATGTGACAGTATCGTTAAAATAATAACAACAAAAATCACTCGTTTAGCTATTATCTTACTTTTTTTTTTTGTTAAATGTCAAACCTTTGATAACATTAAACATTCTTTCCATAGCTACACAATCATTAAGCCATTCACTTGATACTAAACAAGATTTAAGAATTATTTCAATTGAAATACAATCAATAAACATTATTGATCCATTAGTTATGATTGACATTTGTGAAAGTACAAGTTGCCAAAATTTAATTGTTAATACAATAATCATACACATTGAACTAATCGATGATACGAGAAGATAGTAACCACAACCAACTTCTCTTGATGTTTTCACTTTAAATGTTGCTATAGATAATGAACCGATGATTAATTCTAAAATCAACATAATTGTAGTAATAATGCTGAATTTGACAATAAATGGTTGTTGATGAACTGAAATACTTGGTTTAATATGATATCCAAGAATTTGATCGAGTGAAAAAATGAAATCTCTTGTTGAAAATTGACACTGTCTTCCATAGTAACAATCATTACACACACAAATGAATGCTGTTGGACAGGTTTCATTGTTGAAAAAACATTGACCATCATTATAACAAAGAATTTTTCCACTACAATCATATTTTATTGTCTTATTAAATTGGAAACAATTTGAAAATCGATCACTATCACATATACACATGTAGTACTCATCATAAAAGCGCATCAACTGTGGATCTTGACGACATAGAAGTGGATAATATTTCACCCGACGTAGATATTCATGCTGACGAAAAGTATCATTAAAAAGATCAAGAACTGAAGAATAACGATTTTTTCATAATACTTGAGTATGAATATATTCGTATGGTATATATCTTTCTCTTAATACAGTTAGATAATAATTACCATCAGGTATTTGTATGAAAAGAATGTTAAATGGTTGTCGTACATAAATGGTCATAGTATTATAACCGAAGGCAATCTTTTTTAGTGTAGTGTTATTCGTTCATGTTTTGTATATTGGTCAAATGCTATTATGTAATGTAGAATGAATGATGAACTTATTGTTAGAGGGTGTGAGTGTGGGTGTGGGTGTGGGTGTGGGTGGTGTGGGTGTGGGTGTCGGTGGGCGGGAGGTGTGGGCGTGGGTGGGG